AGATCAAGGTAGCAGACATAATGCCTGCCTAGCTTACTGGAATTCATATTCCTTATTAGATCACTGATTACCATATTCCTTTTTCTCTACCACATATCACATCAGGTCCACAAAACACAAAACTAATACTAACACAAACAACCCAAACTAATATACCAATATACCAACATAACATATTGGTATGCACAATCTGCATCAAGCAGAGCATGGTCTAAAATGATTAGTATGGAAATAAATATTTAGGGTAATCATGTCCTAAATTGCATTACATTTTTACTTTCCTATCTCAGTATTATGTATATTTTAATGCACTGTGGCTTGTGGTGGTGACAATAATACCGAACCAGGGAACAAGATGAAGGATTTGTGGATTGTCATTGGGTGTACTACTCTGGCCCCTGGTTGCCATTGACAGTGCTCCTTTGACCCTAGGGAGATTCAGTGCAGGGGAAAGAGCCTTGTGGCTATTCAAAAGGAAGTCCCTCTGAGTTCAATAGGGGCTGCTCCCAGGTATAGGATATAACCCAGGTATAGGATTATAGCCTCAAGAAATCAGGAGTATGTCATAGGGAGATGGACCCAAAAGGAAAAAAGCAGGAGCCTGAGATTGCAGGCCAAAGAAAGAAAGGGTGTCTGGGAAAAGAAAATTAAGGAAGTAGTCCAGAGTAATAAGGGGAAAGGAAGACCAAAGACTGGAAGAGGAAAGGAAAGTGGTCTATCGATACTGTTAAATAAAAAATAGCTGGAATTAACACAGCATGAACCTTGCTCTTCTGAAAGGATGTACAGCACTTATAAGCTGACAGGACAGTAATGATATTGTCTAGTATTGTAAATAAGGTACAATAAGCTGGATGAACACAATTATATATAGCCTTTAATAAATATGGAGTAATGTCCACTGTTGGGATGGGGGTGGTGCTGTGGTCTAAACCACAGAGCCTAGGGCTTGCTGACTGGAAGGTCAGCGGTTCGAATCCCTGCAGCAGGGTGAGCTCCCGCTGCTCGGTCCCAGCTCCTGCCAACTTAGCAGTTCGAAAGCACGTCAAAGTGCAAGTAGATAAATAGGTACCGCTCTGGTGGGAAGGTAAACAGTGTTTCCGTGCGCTGCTCTGGTTCGCCAGAAGTGGCTTAGTCATGCTGGCCACATGACTCGGAAGCTGTCTGTGGACAAACACTGGCTTCCTCGGCCTATAGAGTGAGATGAGCGCCGCAACCCCAGAGTCGTCTGCGACTGGACCTAACGGTCAGGGGTACCTTTACCTAATATCCACTGTAGCATATGAAGTAATCCTCATTCATTAATTTTGACTGGATTGCACCATAATCCTGTAAATACTATCCCAGACTGTAAGTACTATAAGAACTACCTAAGACCGCTTGCTGGTTGTATCTCATCTACTGTAAACACAAGGTCTACATGAGGTTCCATTGCAGAAGAGGGGAGCTGACCAGGCAATGTCATTATCTATTTAGAGACACTTAGAGCTGCAGTAATGTACTGGTATTTGCATTTTTTTGCAAACTGGTTTTACAAAAAATAAAAAAGATTCCTTGCTCATCAGTATGAGTTATATGCTGTACATTTATCTGTACAGTGGTACCTCTGGTTACGAACTTAATTCATTCCAGAGGTCTGTTCTTAACCTGAAACCGTTCTTAACCTAAGGTACCACTTTAGCTACTGGGGCCTCCCGCTGCCACCGTGCAATTTCTGTTCTCAACCTGGGGCAAAGTTCTTAACTTGAGGTACTACTTCCGGGTTAGTGGAGTCTGTAACCCGAAGTGTTTGCAACCCGAGGTGCTTGTAACCCGATGTACCACTGTATCTCCACCTTCATTTTACATATAGTGGTACCTCAGGTTAAGTACTTAATTTGTTCCGGAGGTCCGTTCTTAACCTGAAACTGTTCTTAACCTGAAGCACCACTTTAGCTAATGGGGCCTCCTGCTTCTGCTGCGCCGCCGGAGCACGATTTCTGTTTGCATCCTGAAGCAAAGTTCTTAACCCGAGGTACTATTTCTGGGTTAGCAGAGTTTGTAACCTGAAGCGTATGAAACCTGAAGCGTATGTAACCCGAGGTACTACTGTATAGGGAACAGATGCTGAAAATGGATTTCTATCCGCTACTTAGAAGATGAGCTGAAAACTAGTTTGAAACTGTGGCTTGACAAAGGTTTCAAAAAATGTATGAGATACCTGGAATAGAATACTGTAAATTATATTAAATTATATATATATTATATTATATTATATTATATTATATTACAAAAATGATTCACACTGGGGAACCAAAAAGAAATAACAATACCTGGAACTTGTATATAATACATATTCTCTCCACTGTAGATATGTTAAGAACTCCAAAAATGAACCACCACTTTTAAATTGTTTCACTATCCATTACCACCTTTTTCTCACAAGGCTTCTTTGCTATTAATAGCTGCATATCAGGCAGAAATTCAATATGTAAAGGTTTACACGTCACTATATTTTCATGCTTGCAAAAACTGCTGCTCTTGAATTTCTAGCTGTCACATGGCTCTTTTTAAGTGACACTAAAAAGTTGACAAATCTAATATTGGAAGTCAACATAGAGTCATGGGATTCTATCAAAATCATCTCAAAATAAAAGCTATGCAAGATTTCTATATAGCATTAATTTCATTTTCTTAAGGGGGTTTAAACAATGTCCTTCCAGTGTAGACAGAACTACAAGATAATTTTCCAATTCTGATGAGGCTTCTCAAGACCTCATTCAGTACTGTTTTAAATTGATCATGAACCAAACCAATCTACTGGAGAATCCTTTGGAGGGAAGCAATTACAGTTTAGATAAGAATATAATTCAGGCAGAATATTTCTGTCAGGCCCCAATATATTTAGCAGCTTCTTTATGATATCTTATTACTGGTGCATCAAGCTATAAACACACTAATCTTCAAAACACTTGCTACTTGTAACTGGGCAAGATCTTAAATAGTTCCTCGCTCAGTTTCCTGCTTGATGGAAAGTATCAGCCATCTTCATGACAATCCTGTCTAGTCGTCTCTCCTGTTGAACTCGTTATGACTGTATCCCAAATATATTACTTGAACATTTACATTCTTCAGCAATAGCTCTACCTCAAATATTAACACTATTACTTCAAGTGACTATTGCTTAAATTGAGAAAAGTTAAATTTATTATGCATTGAAATTTGTATGTCAAACTTTTGAAAATTTAATTAAAAATTATTACAAATAAATACTATTGCTTAAGGCATTACTCTAAGTCTCTAAGCAATAACTTGTACCTCCCTTATATGCTTAGGGCAGAGGGGTTATGTTGATTTTTATTTGTTATATAAAAATAAAAATCTTTTTTTTTAAGTACTACCTGTCTCAATCAATTTTTCTCACATATTGAGATTCAGAAAGTTTTGGGGAACAAGACCAAGTCAAGCTTTCATTATAGTTGACACAGAATACCAGTTGTTGTGGTTCAGGAAAGTCTCTCGGGAATTTTTTGTACCAAGAAAGTTGAAATTTACTGTGGAGATTTTGATCATATTGTGGCACATATATTTACAAACATAAACAAAAAAGTAACAGTTTATATACTCAGGTGCCCCAAGCAAATGCAAACTGCATTTACAAAATCTTACTAAACAGAGTGAGATGTCTCAGGAACTTTTGAAAAAAGCAAAAAGCAACATAAAGTTTAATTTATAGTATGACATATGTAGCAATATAGCTTTATAAAATAAATAAAACAGTGATTCCTCATGTCTACAGAATTCATCTCAAATATAATCCAGCATAATAGAAACACTTTTAAGTTACACTGATTTCAGTGGAAGATTTAAAGCATTAAGTGCTGAATCTTATTAGATCCTGCCCATTATACTTTACCTTTTATATAAAGATGTTGTCTATGTGCCATGTGATCTTATGAATATTTATGTGGAAACAGGTCATATTGTATGCAATCAGGCTTACTCCTATACCCCTTACTCCTTCACCCCTTGATACCTATTATCATGTGTAAGTGAAATATCATGATTCCTGGACACAAAAAATGAACATATATCAGAATTCTGAACTTGATCAACTTAATTGAACTTAACAGAATTCAGAACCCTCTGGAAATAGTTAAATGCACTAAATATAAACCTTTGTTGCATCTCTTCTCAAAACACACAAATAGGGAAAAATATAAAGAACCCAGTGAAGCACAAAGATTAGCTATATATATCAGTTGTATGTGATTGTCTACCTATGTTAGACAAGCTTGGTTGCTTAAGATCAAGCAAATCTTTCTGTGCTTGAAGGAAATTTTGAAGGAAAGATGGTGGATGCCACTGACAGGTGAAACTTCTGTGCTTGAAGGAAATTTTGAAGGAAAGATGGTGGATGCCACTGACAGGTGAAACTACAGCAAACATATCAATAACCTCAAAGTCTGTCAACACATAAAGTCAGCACACACAGTTTGCTGTAGCTTATATTGTTATAAAAATATGTGGGGGTTTTTTTAAAGGTTAAATGTTCATACCATTTTTCTGAATAAGAGCCAAGCCACCCACTTACGGCAATAAATCAAAATGCTTGCATAAAAATATCTGAAAGCCGGAAGTTTTTTCTATGCAAGTTTAAGCAATGCTGGGATTTTAGTCAGTAGTAGGTTTAAAATATCACATCCATAATCCATTCTTAAGCATCTTCTATGATCAGGGCTGATCCTTGAGTCCTGTGATAAATCACACCTTGCAATTTCAGTCTCCAGCAAACATAGCTCCAGGATAACTATAATCATCTGGCCTACAATACAAAGCCTTATCAGACGCAGCAGTTCAGAGGACAATTCTAAGCAGAAGAGATACTGAGCTGCTTTTCCATCCTTTTTTTAAAAAATGGAGTGAGGGATGGAGTGAAAAAGTGGAGGATGGGGGGGGGGAACCAGCACACTGGGGTGGGGGGTAGGGAAACACACCACAAATCTTCAAAGCCAACTCACCTCTCTCAGCTGCTCGAGCTCCTGCTTAAGGACATCATATTCCGCTTCCAGCTCATCATATTGCTGCTTGAGGGTGAGTTTTTCTTCCAAGACCACCAGCCCATATTCCGCAGCCTGGATCTTCTCATGGGTTGTTTCCGTGAGCTCTTTGGTCAGCCTCTCGATCTCGGACTTGTAGTGATCCACCGTCTCCAACACCTCTTCCGCAGCCATAGCCTTGGAGGTTGGAAGGGTGGGGGAGGCAAAGAGAAGGATGGATGGCGAGAGTGAGATGAAAGGGGAAAGGGAGGAGGAGGAGGAGGGGCGGGCGGACAGATGGAGGGATGGAAAGATGCAGGAGGCACAGGGCAGCCGGCGATTCTCCCCGGGAGGCTCCTCCTGAGAAGCAGCCAGCTACATCGGCTTAAGGCTAAGGGAGGGGATGCGGCGCACCATGAAGGAGCGGAAAGGAGGAATTCAAAGCCCCCCCGAGGCTGCTGCACCATTTGTCCTTCGGCTCCTCGGCTTCGTTTTGCTACCTCAACCCGGCATCATAACTGGCCCTGGAGACCGAGGAGGAGAAGGGAGAGGGAGGCAGAGGGGGATTTATTTGTTTATTTTAACCCCCCTTTTTCCCTTCCTTTTTTTTTTTTTTTGCTTATTCAGAGGCATTGGTCCGCCATGTCTCCAGGGTAGCTTCACTGCAGTCTCTCAACTCTCCACCTGCTCCCCCTCTCCCGGCCGCCGCCGCCGCCGCCGCCGTTACTGCTGCAGCCTGTGGGGGGAGAAGGGGTTTGGAGAAAATAAATATATCAATTAAAACAGACCTGGCCGTATCGGTCACCTGCCCCCCCCCCAGGAAACAAATAATGGGAAGCGAGGCGGATGAATTTATTACCATAGCAGAGCAGCCAGAAAGGCTACCGACAGACACGTCCTGAGGCCGCCTCGCCTCGCCTGCCTCTCTCTCTCCCGCTTAACCGCCTCTCCTCCCTCCACTCCCCTCCCAGCAGCCGGGAAAAAGGGACAGATGGGGAGATGACAGCGCCGCCTCCGCCGCCGTCGCCGCCTCTTCCTTCTCCTCCTCACGGCGGCGTCTCTCTTCCCGCGCTCTTGGACGACGGCGGGGCGGAGGCTGCGTGTCTACCGCACAGTCCCCCCTTCACGCTTCCCACAGCTCTCCTCGAAAGAACCAACACACAAGTGACACACACTCATAGAATCATAGAGTTGGAAGAGGACCAAGGGCATCGAGCTGCCAAGAGGCCTCAGAGCCGACATATGTTGTACTCTGCTTACAGACAGAACTCTCTTGCCAAATTCCCTGTGTCTACTGTAGGAAGTCTTCCTACTAGGAATCTTCCTTCTTATTTGGATCCATTGCTCCGTGTCCGCTTCTCTGAAGCAGCAGAAAACAGCCTTTCTCCCTCCTCTATGTGACATCCTTTTATATATTTGAACATGGCTATCATATCACCCCTTAACCTCCTCTTCTCCAGGCTAAACATGCCCAGCTCCCTTAGCCGTTCCTCATAAGGCATCGTTTCCAGGCCTTTGACCATTTTGGTTGCCCTCCTCTGGACACGTTCCAGTTTGTCAGTGTCCTTCTTGAACTGTGGTGCCCAAAACTGGACACAGTACTCCAGGTGAGGTCTGACCAGAGCAGAATACAGTGGCACTATTACTTCCCTGGATCTAGATACTATACTCCTATTGATGCAGCCCAGAATTGCATTGGCTTTTTTAGCTGCCGCGTCACACTGTTGGCTCATGTCAAGTTTGTGGTCAACCAAGACTCCTAGATCCTTTTCACATGTACTGCTCTCAAGCCAGGTGTCACCCATCTTGTATTTGTGCCTCTCATTTTTTTGCCCAAGTGCAATACCCTCTTCACTGCCAAGGCTGAGGTGGTGCTTGTGCACACACTTCTGAGCTTTGCCATATATTTCCCTAAGATTTGCTACTGAGGTTTCCAGAGGCATCCTGAAAAGGCCTTGTTCTAGACCACACCATTGCCTTTGAACAATGTTCAGGGCCGGCCCTACCCTTGGGCAAGGCAGGGGTGCAGACTTGAATGAGATATTGGGTGGGCAGGTAAGCCCCACCCAACATAATATATCACAAGACGTGGTGTAGCACCCTGCTTGTGGTTAACGCTTAGCTGGAATGAAATATTCAACGCAGCAATAGAGAAATTAAAATAATAATTTATTTGTCAGACAAATAAATGAGAGGCACAGTGGTATATGGTTACCAAGCTCTGGCCTGGTCTCCCGCCATTATGGCCAGCACTTATATTCCCTCAGCCCAGCCCCCTTGCTCCTCCTTTGGCTGCCTCTGTCCAATCAGCCTGGTTGAATTTCCTATTGGCTGATTGCTATAACCAATCCTAAAAGATACACCCATTTCCCATTGCCTTTTATGGGATACAAAAAGCTATATATTCTTCTATCTATAAATGACAAATAAGTAGTCATATATCTTACATTTGTCTCAACAAGGAACCTTAATTACCAGCTCACCTCTTGCCCTCCTTGCCCTATTGCCCTCCAAAACAGATGGTTAATAGTTTTAAATTTTTATCTTAAATAGATGTCAGAGATCTTGGGTTCACATTCTCATGCATCATCAATGAAAGATCTCCTTTTTGGAGGTCTTTAAACAAAGGCCTTACAACCATATGTCAGGAGTGCTCAATGGCGTCTCCTGTCTGGCAGGGGGCTGGGCTCGTTTGCCCCTCTGGTCTCCTACAGCAATATGACTCTATGAAATAAGAATTTAACATTTCTTTCTTTCTAGATCCTTTGCATAATTACATTTAAGCCAGTATATTTCATACATTATCATAGATAGCTTTTTAGAAGAATAAACCTTCTCAAAGTAATAGGAAGGAACAGTTTACAGCCTCAAAATAAAATAGGAAAAAAGCCTCTTCTTCTGTTTACACTCCCCTTCTCCAGCCAGTTGCTTTCTTTTCCATTTGCTCTTGGCCTTTAACCTTAGGAAGATATGGCTCAAGTTTAATGGAGGCACATGGTTTTATTTTACTATTTACCAACTCTTAATTATGTAGGGTCAGTGTAACCTTGCTCTCAGCCTGTAATTCCCTTTTTACGACTTTGAGAATTGTTTTCTGCTATAAATCAGGGGGCCCCCTTGTCCAGGAGGATAAACATCTTGCCAAAGTACTTAGGCAGCTGGTCTTCTGCCTGGCATAAAACATTTGAAAATCTTTAAGCTCATTTTAAAATACAGACCCTAATCAAACTATAAGCCTTGATAAAAATGCAGGCTATGATTAGATGCCTCAGTGGTAGATGCACACCCAGTGGCGTAGCGTGGGTTGTCAGCACCCGGGGCAAGGCAAGTAATTTGTGCCCCCTAACCCGTGGATTTGTGCCCCCTAACCCCCAGATGTTGCACCCAGTGCGGCCGGCCCCCCTGCACCCCCCACGCTACGCCACTGTGCACACCATGCAATTCCCATCAACTTTGGGGGAGCCTGGCCGCCTCAAATGATTCATTGATTGGCTCCTATGAGACAGAGTGAGGAAACCCCTCTCCAGGTGGCAGGTGTTGGGGCAGCAGCTGAGGGGGCCTGGGAGGCAAGAGTCTTTTTTAAGCCTCCAGATGTTCCACTTGGTTGCTGTGCCACCTCTCCTGGACCCCCCTCCTCACAAATCTGTCCTGCCTCAGGAGCAGTGGAGGACTCTATCTCCCATCCCTAGTGTAAGATTGAGTTGTCAGTCCGGATACCACCTGTACATGATGAGAAGTGGGCACCCTATAGTGCTTTGCCTCAGGGAACAAAATGTCTTGGGACAGCCTTATGGAGCATCATCGGTGTCCCGTGAGAACACAAGGATCACCCAGCTGAATCAGGTCTGGCCCATGGAGTCCATCATCCTGCTCTCCCAGTGGCCAATCGGGTGCCCATGGAAAGGCTTTTGTTGTCTCCCTTCACACGTGGGTCCACAGAGATTCATATATTTAATTGCCCCATGCTGACAAATGTTGTTGCCATCATAATTAGTGTCTATTGTAACCATAACTATTATAATTTGAATACAATGGTGGTGTGGAAGTGGTCTGCTGTGAGTTGAGCCCCAAATGACCTGCATCATATCTCACCTCAGCTATTAACTCATGAGATGCCCCGCATTTCACCTCAATCAGTCCACCAATATATAAGGGAATAATAAATACCATACTGACCTATGCAGGGCTGTTGTAAGGATTTATGAGATAATGTGAAAGCTCTATGAATGTACAGTATTTCATTTTTTCAGTCTCGTGCCTGATGTTGGGGATCTGGCGATGGCACAAATATTTCAAGATAATAAATCATGGTGGGGTGACTGTGGCACAGGCATTTCAATTTCATTTTGTTTCCTATCTTTAGGTACCAGGCGAAAACATTCCTCTTTTCCCAGGCCTTTGGCTAACTAAACAATCTATGACTTTTTTAAACCGGGGAGAGAGTTATTGTTTTCATTTTTTACTATGTTGTGTACAGTATTTTTGTTTTTATATTGTAAACTGCCTCGTAATCCTCAGATGAAGGGCAGTATACAAATTTAATAATACACACACACACACACACACACACACACACCCCTTTCTGCCTGCTGGGTACTAATTTATAATTTTTTCTTTCTGTGGTTGCTCTGCTCAGTTGCTGCATGTCAGTCAATATTTAGGATTCACAGCAGAAACTTATGCATGGTTACTCAGATGTCAGTTTCACTAAGTTTGGTTGGCCTTACAGGTGAGTGTGCATAGGGTTGCAGACTTAGCCGCCTTCCTAGGGTCTCTAAAATTGATCTAATGATTGGTATTGATGCATCTTATCTCTGGGTGTACATATGTTGATATGTGCACACTACAATAATACACCATGCATTGCAAAGGTGATGTCCTGTAACCCTGGCCTACCTGGCAGCAAGTCAGTATGGCAAGCCCCTAGTCTAGGGTCAATCCACATGCCCAGAGTCCAAATCAAAGCACAGTCCTGCAGAGATCCTCGAGCATTCAAGTTAAGGTCCTTCACCATGGGCATCTGAGCAGACACAGCACCTCAGCTCTGCCGCCCTTTTATACTATGCCTGCTGATTGAAGCATCTGGGCTGGATGAGGCTTGCGACCCTAACCTGAGCTTACTCCAGCTGAGGAATCACACACCTTCTGCCAGAGCTAGCAAGCCCCACCTGGCCATCTAGGGAGCTGGGCTGTGGGCCCTTGTCTGCCTCAGCCTCCTAGAGTGCTGCTCCCTTTGCCTCAGAGCTTGCCATGTTTGTGGAGACAGGGGCCCCTCTGACTCTGGTGAAGGGTCCTACTGCTCTGGTTCTTGTGCACTGATCCCTGTCCCCTCGTCATCCTCTGTTACCCCGTGAGTACTTTCTACACCAACCTCTTCTTCCCCTTCCCCAGCTTGCCCCAGTTCTAGCTACACCCCTCACCAGGATCCTCCTTCCTCCTCCCCATTGTCCTGCCAGTTCTTGACAGGTGGTCATTTTGCATAGAATGGCTTGTGCTGAACTGTGTACTGTAAGACAAAGATGTTCTTTCCAACTATATCTATTTTAAATTTTATTTCATTCCATTTATCAGTTGGAAATAAAGGTACATGGTCCCTTCCCCCGCACCTTTTCTGCTCACAACAATCCTATTATATTAGGTTGAGAGGTTAGAATTGGCTCAAGGTGGCCATGTGAGCTTTATGGGGAAGTTGAGATTTGAACCTGATATCTGAATGTGTTACTATGTGCATTGGGTAGGCAGGGTGGGGACAACACAGAGCTCACACAATAATCCTTGGTATCAAAACTGGAATGCTAGAAGTATATAACCTGGAAAATTCCAGAGAGTAGAAAACACTACAAATTTATTTTTGTGTGCTTCATTTTGTGGGGACTACAGAGTGGTATGTGTTGGAGTTGTGTTCAGAAGTCTGGTTTTGTACTTTTTCCAGATAAAGTAAAATATATTCCACACGATCACCTCCATCTCACTATGCTGCCAGGGGAGAGATGCTATTGTGTGGTTCGCTTCAGGTGACTAAATGTATTGGGCCAGCCGCAAGCTTTCCTAATTTTCAGACAAGGAACAGTCCCAGGTCATAAAACAATATGAAACCTGCAAAACAGATTACCCAATGCGT